GCATAATGTTTCAAAGGCGGGCGCTTCCCAGCGAAGTTTTTGCGCGCCGCCTCGGTGCGCCAAAATGTATTGTGAAGGCGCGCCGCTACCATACGAATTTTGTAGGTGGGCAAAAAGACATACTTTGGCGGGCTCGGTGCTGCCATACGTTACAAACCGCACCGGGCTCGGTGCTGCTTTTTGGCGGGTTTTCTCGATGAAAAAAGCGCGAAAATTGTAACGCCCCACATACGATTTGGCGTACCGAGTCGTATGTGCGTACCTAGGCCACGTCATGCATTTATACGAGTACGATACTTTTGCAGTTCATATTCCACCTGGAACCGCGTCCGCTCGCTCTGTCTGGGAGTAGTAGAACCTGGCTCCTTATGAACTGCACAAGTATCGTACTCGTATAAATGCATGACAAATTTCCTCAGCATGAGAAATGAAATTTGTAATGCGGATTTACCTTGAGAAAAACATTTGTAATGCATGACTGCAATACGAGTACGATACTTTTGCACAGGATACTCCTCGATACCGATTCGCGTCCTCCGGTTGTGTATCCAATGCAAATATGTCTGGGTCGTCTGGAATAAACGTGTGATGCTACCTTGTGACTGGAGGTGGGCGCACTGCTATATGCAGCTACGCATGACAAGTTTTTGCGCTTCTGTGTGTTTCCCTTTCCGCATGGCAAGCTGCATGTATCTTGCATGACCGGCAATAGGCTCCTTTCCTGCTCCTGCAATACAGATTTAAGGGGCATGCGAGACAAGCATGACAAAGTTACACTCTTCCAGACCCAGACGTATTTGCAGTTGATAGTGTGCTGAGAGAAGCCAGCCGGGTTGTCGCGTGCCAGCTAGCTCTTCACTGTTTCCGTTGAAAACGGCCTGTTTGGTTTATGAACTTTAACTTTTTAGATGAAGTTGAAGAAGATCAACGATAGAACATTGCGCAGAAACAGGAGCGGAATATGCCGAAGGTGCTTAATATGATGCTCAGTTTAAGGTACTTCTACTTCTACAGCTGCATGTCTACTTCTCCCATCAGTTGCCGCGTCACCACTTCAGTATCAAGAACCAACTTGAAGAACTTTACTAGAAAAAAATCATACATGTGCCACTTTCCGCTGCCAATTTTCAGATCCGGGTGTTTCCCGGGTCATATCGCCCCGCTGCGTCGCAATGTCTCGCAGGAATAGTAGGCGGTGGCGGTAGACATCATAAATGTCCACCTGTTCTTTGTCTTCAACATTTTCTTGCTCTAGAGGACGAGTTTCAACATGACTTTCTTGTCCTCCAGCGACCCCATCTGCGTCTTGCGTTGAAGCTGCGGAAGTATTATCGTCACCTTCATCTTCGGGAACCGCGATTTCGGCATGGTCAACATCATGTGCTGGTGTTCTACTTGTAGCACCAGGAGCGGCGTGGTCTTGATGACGAAGGACAGGAGTAGTTGTTCTCTCCGCATCTTCAATATCGACTACCACAGGCGGCGGTAGAACCAGTGTTGGCATCATCTTTTTATCTGAGGAAGCTCCACTAGAAGCCGCAGTGGCGGCGGCGGCCGGAGCATACGCTCCGCCACCTTTCCCCTTGCCTTGTATGTCCCTTGTTTCCGTATCAGAAATCGAAACACCTTGTTCATCAGATGAAACCGCTGCTTGGGTCGGGTTGCGAGAAGTGTTCCCGCCAAACTGAAACACTGTTTTCGTCACTCCAGGCTGCTGGTGCTCGGAGTAGGAAATGTTAGAACTGTATCGCAAGAAAAAAGTCGTGTCACACACATTGTGTTGCAGGAACCGCAAGAGCAAGACAGACAACCTTTGTCATGCAGGAAATGCTTGCGCGCCTCGTATTTTCCCTTAGCCTTATGAACTTTGCATTACAAGTTTTCTCTGCCACACAGACAAGACTTGTGATGCAGACACTCTAACAAATGCGTAACTGTAACACTTTTTTCCTCTGATAAGATGTTTCCAGTACTATTTTTTCCGGCGCGGGAAGACGACAGAAACGAAAAGTTACCACCAATGCTGGTAATTCTTGCGGACGACGATGTAGGTGGCCCGCTAGAAGTGGGTGAAGCTGCGGATGTTCCTGGTGGCGCCCCGCCACCTGCACTTGCTGCATCTCCTGTGGTCGCCATTGGCGGCCGCTGCTCAGGAGAAGCCTGAGCAAACTGAAAGTGCCCTTGTAGGTGCTCTCCTCGTTCTAATAACCGCTGCCGTTGTTGTTCCTGTTGCGCCGCCACGGCCGCCAAGGGCGCGACGAGGGTATTTCCGCTGTTAGTGTGGTCCAGATGAGAAAGCTGCTTCCGGGGCTGTTCTAGGCCGAGCGAGTCGATGAGTTTTGTGTTGTTCGGGACAAAAAAAGGAGCTCCATCGTCTCCTGCTCCACCACCACCTCGAAGCGCAGCTGATGTTCTACTTGCTGGCATAGCAGGCAGCGGCGCTGCTGCTGCGCCACCTGCTCCGGTGGCCGCACTAGAGGCCGCGGAGGTCGACGTTGCCGTTTGCACCATCTCTACGTCACCAGTTCTTGCACTACCATGTGAAGACACTGCAGGAACAACAGGAGCAGGCGGAGCACTACTGCTCGCCTGTTCATCCACCTTCCCGCCCCGAATGAGTTTTTTCAGCACCGGTTTGAAAATGTTGTTCCCGCCGTCATTATCGTACCACACGTAGACCCCGTTGTCCATTTTTCCAATATGCAACACAAATTTCCCGCACAACATGTACAAAATGCATCACAAATTTCACCAATTTGGAGCGTAAAATAACTTGTCATGCTAAACTAGGATCGAAGCCAAGTTTTGTCATGCAGAGACCGCATCTGTACGTGTACGGGAAATTTACTGTGGATATCCAAAGAAAAAATGCTCCAGCACCTCCTGGCTTCGCTTCTCGTCAAGAACCTGTTCTTCCCGCGTGAGGTCCGGCAGCTGAATATCCTGAGTAGAAACGTACCCAGCACGCCAGAGTTGTAATGCAGATTTGCAAAGACAGGAAGACTTGTAATGCGCATCCGCATGAGAGCCATTTCCAATCGTGTTTTGGAATTTGTGATGCTGTGAACAGGATGAGCAGATGAATCTGTGACGCGGCTGCACTTGCTAATCTGCACTACACTGCAGAGTGCAACTTGTCATGCGTGACTCACAAAACTCCTAGGCTTGTGTTGCAAAATCCCCATCCTGACTCTGGTGTGGGTACGTTTTTACTCAGGATACTGAAACGCGGTCAGGAAGGGACGGGTATTTCTTGCAGATGTTGAAGTGGACGGCGCTCCACTTGTAGTATTGCCGGCCGTGCTGGTTGGACTTGGAATCACGCCAGCTGTTGCCTTTCCTTTCGCCTTTGCAGTTGTATCTGCACTGGTTATAATTTTTTTCTCTTCCTTCCGCATCGTTATCCAAGAAAAAAGTGTGTACGTGTAACTTTTTTGCAGGAACAGCATCACAGATTTGTTTTGCATGACAGAGAAAACCTGCCATGCGTAGCTAGTACACGAAAACACGTAGCAGGAAATAAATAGCCTCTGATGCATATCCAGCATGACAAGTGTAACTGTATAATTGCAACGTCTGCAAGACAAAGATACACTTACACAGTTTTTTCCTTGCATAATCGTCAGCTGACCTCTGTACTCATCCACTTGCTTCAAAAACTTCAACCTTTGTATCACAAACTCTTTTTTCCGATATGAAATGCAAAAGTGTCTGGGTCTAGAAGAGTGCATGTTTGTCGTGCTTGTCTGGCATGACTCTTAAATCTGTCATGCACGTTACCCAAGAGCCCAACTTTCTGTCATGCAGAGACGCAGTCTGTCATGCAGAGTAGGCAACACCTAGAAGCTCAGAAACTTGTCATGCTGAGCCAGCACTTGTGGCCTTCCCATGATACGTCACCCAGCACCACAAGTCTCCAGACCCAGACATTTTTGCATTTGATATCAGATCCGCCATGCCGATTTTCTCAAACTGCTCTTTCGAAATCATCGAGGTGAGCAACTTCGCCGCTTCCCGCGGCAGTTGAAGTTGCGGAGCTGGTGTAGAAGTTGGTGCTGCTGCAGCTCCTGTAGGAGCCCCGCCCGCCTTTGGGGTACTAGTGCCTTTCGCCGGCGTGCTGCTGCCAGCAGGGGCTGCCTGCTCCGAATCTTGTTTTTGCTGGCTGTTTTTTACCCTCGGAGGGATTAGCTTTGGCGTTGCTTTCATCAGGGGCGGATGCTTAGTACCTGCTTGTTTTTTGTCCTCTACAGGAGCACCAGTCCTCGCGGCATTTTTCCCACCCGCTTTCGCCTTGGCCTTGCTGGTCGTTGCAGTTAGCTGTGCCGCGAACGAACCAGGAGGCTGCTCCATTGCTCCTTCGAACCCCGCTGGCGGCGGCTTCGGCTTCGCATTTACCACAGACGGGGCAGACGGCGTTTGTACAACACTTGTAGGCTGCGGCGGCACGGACGCTGAAGCTCCGCTTCTAGTTGGATCAGTTCCAGATGAACCGCTAGAGCCCGCATTCGGGATAGTGGTGCTTCCGGTACCAGCGTTGCCTCCTTGATTTGTAGTTGGAGACGCGGCCGCTTTGAGACCGATGCCTGCGCTCAGTCCTAGATATTTCAAAACGTCAGTTCTGAGCAAATTCAGCTCCCTGAACCACATCTCCGCATGAACCATAGGCGCTCGGTATCGCAAGAAAAAACTGTTTCACTGTAATAAACCTGTGACGCAGCAAAGAATTATGCAACTACACAGACACATTTGTCTTCTTGCTACACATGCAAGGCATTGGGTTTATCAACGTGTTTTAAGTATTCCGTGACAAAGTACTTACGCGTGGCAAGTTTTCTTTCTCAAAGTCAACATGCCCTCGTGTAGCAAACTTGTAAAAAGAATGCAAAACTTGCAAACTCCTGACAGTGAAACATTTTTTTCTCACGACGGTACTCTGTCCGCGGCATTCAGTCCCAAATCGTCCCAAAACGCGCGCATGACCCGCGCGTAAGAATGCATGAGGAAAGATTTCCGGCCCTCCTGCAGCTTTTGCAGCTCGTCCGGTGTGGTTTCGAAATTCATTTTGGAGCCCTGCTGGTCACTGTTGAGGAAGAGCTTTTTGCTCACGTCGTTCAGGCGTTGAGAAGGCGGCTCACCTTGCTGCTGTCCGTGTCGCTGCGCAGCTGCTGCTGCTGCACCAAGAGCTCCATCTACATGATCATGATCTGCTGATGCATTCTGGCTCTGCTCGTCTGGAGGTGCTGCTGTTTCTTGCAGTCCAAACAGTTCAACTGGATTCTTCACACCCACTGACATCTTCTGCTCTCCCTTGTTGCGCGTGGTGCTGTTTTATTGTTTTGTGTGTGAATTGAAATTCTTCTTGAAAATACAAAATATGCGCCGTGGTCGGTATCATTTGTTGTTTTCAAGAAACGCTATTAACGCGCATATTTCATCGATTGCTATATTTTTCCAAATCAAACGAAACATGACAGAAACTTGGCACTATGGATTTTGCCGTCTCAAAACATCAAGTACATCAACAGGAGGACCACAAGTTTCTATTCCAAAATAGACGCCAGTCTAAGTAGATGAAAATTACTTGAAAAAGTATGTCAATGTCAATGTTATCAATACAGCACGACAAATCGCCAGGGGCTTTTTTCGGTCATATCCTGCACTTCTTGCGCGAGCGTTTGCCACCCCGGCTCATTCCGGTGCTTTTTTTCTTCTACAGCGATAAATTTCTGGAGCAACTTCACCTCCTCGCGGTGATAAGGGTCGATTAGGTCGTGTTCCAGGTATCTTCCATAATTCTCTGCCAAGTCCTCGAATCTCTCTGCAAGCCGCAGACTCGCGGTCTGCAGCTTCTTGAACTTGTGCAAAAACAGGTCCCACATGAGGTCCGCGCGGCCCCGTTATGCTGTGCAAAAGTATCGCACTCGTAGTAATCGCATGTATGCATGACAAATCTCTTTTTCAAGGTAAATCAGCATGAGAAATTCCATTTGTCATACTGAGCAAATTTGTGATGCGATTACTACTAGTACGATGCTTTTGCAAGTCATACCCGTTGCAGCTGCGCAACTCGCTCCGTCGCGACCTTTTCGTAGATGAGATGGGGTTCTCAAGCGTTACACCCTCAGCCGTTACATGATAATGATTTGCCATGCAAAACTGCAATAAGCGGCCACACGATCAGGGTGCTTTCGCATGACAAATTCACGAAGGGGTGAACGTAAAAAGCGTGATTCACGATCCGGTCCAGATTTGTAATGCAACACGCGCAACCTTCCCGATTTCGCTTTTGCTGCTTTAGCATCACAAATTCATGCAACAACTGAGAGTGTAACGTTTGAGAACCCCATAGATGAGATGCTCGTAATACAGCCTGCGGTTTTTCACCGTCGGGAGTTTATGCACAGAAAAAAAAAGCCACAGCGACATCACACTGTATTCTTGTAGGAGGCCAGGTAGGACAGAAACATTTTGTCATGCCTAACGGTCACACTGTCGAAAAAGAAAAGAAAATGCTTGTAGCCAGGTCGAGGCAAATTATGCTTGTCAGCCTCTTTTCGTGCGAGTGCGTGTGCTGCCTTATGATCACCTGGGTACTGTTTTATTCCTTGTCAACAGGTAGAGCACATTTTTGAAATTCGAACTATATTATAATCTGTGCTGCTGCTGCTAGCTAAAGCTCCGACAAAATAAAAGGCGTCGTGACTGTCACACTTTTTTTTGTAAGACATAGCCTTTGCTTTTCATCGACTTTTTCACCCTGGTGAAAAACGCACGCATTTCTTCCGCGTTCGCCGACACAAGAACATCCTTGTCGCCGAACTCCACTACTTCGTCGGACTGAATTTCGCGGCTTGCCTCATGGAATTCCAAAAATGCGTGCAGCACTTTCCGGTCTTTGGTATCCACCGACTGCTGCACCGACTCGAGCACTTTGTTCTGATTCAAAACCGCGACCTGCGTGGGCGTGCCAGGCACGCCTACATCGGAGTTGTGGACCGCGACCGTCTTCGCGTTCGGACCCCGGAGAGAGTCCCGGACTGCGTTTTTCATATCAATTGCAAAAGTATCGCACTAGTAGAAACCAGCCATGCTCCGGCTGCCGCCGGAGCGCAAGGCTGTTGGGCCGGGGCAAGGCTGTTTGCCGCTCGGACCACAACCCCACGGGCCTAGTAGGCACAACGAAACACACTGGATCCCTGCCGCCGATTTGCGCCGCGCCA